TCAGCAGAGCCAAGCCTCTCTCCTGCTCTTGAAGAAGCCTTCCTTCTTCCTAAGGATTTATCTAAAGATCTTCCATTCTCTTAACTATATCCCCAGGGGGAGTCTAAAGAGAAAGGAACTCCTAAATGCTAACTCGTATCTGTCTGAAATGGTTTAGGAATACCATATCTTGTACCTGTGCGTGAGGCTGGAGGACCCTTGAAGTCAAATAGAAGCAGAGGAGAACTGAGTTATTTATCCTGATGGAAAAAGCAAAATTAATGGATGACTTCATTTGGTTGAGTATTAAAATAAGAAAAACCACAGCCATGTAACAGGAAATATTCTAGTTAGTATGGGCTTACTTTAAAAAGTGACTGTAAAAAGAGCAAAGGTACATTGTTTATTTTTGTAATGTCCCAATGGAAAACAAAAATAACTCTGTAATCTCTCATCCTGTGGTTGTATGCTATGATTTGAAATACCAGTTAGGCTCTTTTTCTTTTCAGGTATCACCAATACAAGTGAGTTCTGCAGGTCTAATTGTGCCTACAGTGTTACTTTGCATAAGCAAAAAGGAATGGATCCTGTAACTGGAAATTAGCAAACACAGATGATACACAGAGGGACTTGAATCCAACTCTGTTTCTCCTGCCTGATGGAGCACAAGGATCTGTGGAGTAAGAAGGTAGTATTTTTGCAGTCAGTTCTGAATGTTCTGCAGTTTAGGGAAATGGCCTGTTGTAACTGCAGGCCAACAAAGTCCTTTTAAGTTGAATGCTGCTAAGGGTGCCAACAATAAGGAGGAGTAATGCAAAGACTCTTCTTTAAGAGAGTTCCAAGCAGCATCCACAAATTAAAGCCTATGAAAAGAATTGAAGGTGAGCATTAGGCAGATCTCGCCTTCTAGCCTGTGCAAGCATCATGACAGGGTCTGATCGTACTCACGAACACTTTGATTCAAGCAGGGCTGAATCTCCAGTATTACTGTAGAAAAACCACATCACCCGAGACATGAACAAAACAGCTGGAAAAATATAAGTAGCAGGAATACATCACATCCAAATTCTCTGGCTGCCATTTCTTCCACCTACTATTTTACGAAAAGAGGGCAAGGGGAAAGCAATTTGCTATTCAGTAACACTCCTTACCCCAGCAGTCACTGCTCTGTTACTCCCCTTTCTTCTAAAGAAGAATAAATCGGTGGTTGAAAGAAGGGTTAACTTGTGCCATACCAGCACAAAGCAAGCATCTCTCTACCAGGGTACATGTGAAACACCAGCAATGTTTAGCAATATTTGAAGTTAGGACTGCCGTGACATCACCTTTGGAGATTATTGTGTTACTTTCCCTGGCTCATTGGTTTCTCTTTTCTTCTGATGTTCTTAATCCCCTTCAAGGTTAACTTTACTACCTGTTAATACAGTTTTTTAAAAGACCTGCCAGTTGCTGTTTAATTACCAGCTGAGTCAAAGTGAAAATATTGCTAATGAGTGTTCTTTCCTGCCAGCATAGTATATTACATGCAAATTTCTCAAAAGCTTACAATGTCATATGGACAGTGCATTTTTCATTGCAATTAGGATATGGTATATTCCTTTCATAATGGAAAGCTTTGGCTTTTAGGAAATTTAGCTCCTACAAACAGGCAGTGCATGCAGCAATCTTACCAATCATTTTTATTTTTAAACTGGCAAAATCTGGGTGTTGCATAAGAAGTTTCCCATTGCTTAGGAGTAACATAGGATTCCTATCTACCTGACTAGGCACTTGGGTGTTCTCTCATTTTTGTTCATTTTCCTTTTAACTGAGAAAGGCAGCCTACACTTGTGTTATGGTCTCTTGGCCAATGCTGATGTGACAGTCTAGTTAGAATAGTGAAGTGTGTTCCGGACAGTGGCTCTAGCTGGTCCAGACTACAATAGCTAATTCTTACCTGTTCACCATTCTTTTGAGGCCATTTCTCCAACCGTTTAATTTCTGAACTTGCTCTCTTTGCACTGTTTCTGGGGAGAGCCTATCCTGAACGTACATCATGCTTTTCTCATATTGAAGTGCGAGTCTATGCTATGGACAATTGGATTTTTAACTGAGAAGTAGTTAATGCTCCTGAATCAAGTGCTGCAACCCCTGAAGCCCAGTGAATAGAATGGGTGGACAAGGGCCTCCTTGGTATTGAAGATTATGAACAAAACAGGCTAGCAACTGCTCACCTCAACCTTTACCTGTTGCAGCTTCCTTATTCCATTGCTGGATCTCTTTTAAGCATAGGCTAGCAAGTGTGCCATTTAGTTAACATTTATCAAGGGCCAGGGTTGGAACCAAAATCTTTTCCTTGTGATCAAGTTCAAATTAACCCAAGTTAAGCAGTGAAGGGGCTATAAATTAGCTCACTGAGCTATCCAGTTCTAGTATTTTGATCTCCATTGTCATACATCAAAGCTGCTGCTCCCTTCCACACCCATCTGATCTACTGATTTATCTTGGCCTGTAATAGATGTAGCCTTCCTCCTGAAGCATGTTAAATTCCTTCCTGCTTTTAAACCAAGACCAAATATAGTTTTATGGGAGTGTTACTGACTAAATGAATTCTTGATTTATGTTTTTTGTTGTGGGAAATTACTTAATCTGTTTACATTAAAAATGGGTGAAACCTGTCCCAGCTACAGGAAATTGAATTCACTGGCAGTGCTCCCATTAATGGAAGCAGGATTAGACACTTGATTTGCCTCATCTAGCCTGGCATTAGTACTGCATACCTAGATAGTAATAAAGCTGCAACAGAATTGATGGAATTTCTCTCTCCTCTTACGGACTTACATTGCAATTGTAAGATTTTCAATGAACAGAGCAGTACTTTCAAACAATTAGAGAGAAACGCATGCATGTTACTGGAAAACAACCACTAATGCTGATGGTGGCCAACCTGTACCCATCTCGCCAAACAAGTTTGTAGAAGGAGGGGTAACAAACCTAAGATTGTTCTAATCAGTGGCTTGGTAATACTGCACATCCCAGTACTGCAAATTGCTCAAGAGTCTAAAGGCTCAGCTGCTGTTGGAAAGAGGAAACAGGGCAGGGATGAGAGCAAAGTGTCTCTTACTACTGTAACTTAAAAGTATCAGACTGCTGAATCAGTATGAGCCATTTGATCCAGTCACTCTAGTTTGTAATACAGACCTCTCACTTTTGCTTGTTGTAGTACCAGCAATGTCTCATTTTCATCTTTCTGTGTAAGTGGGGGGAGTATACCACAACTAGTACAGCTCTCCATTTATAACAGGAAAAGTAATCAAGGATTGAAGTTTTGCATGCTGAATGAATATTTTATTTAGAACCAGTTTATAAAAATAAAATACAAAATAATTTCAAAACAGAACTTAAAACATTGTACAAAGCCTTGATATGGTACAAATGGAAAAAAATAAATAATTATACCTTTATGTACAAATGACCATTACAAGGGCAATAGCTCTTCTGCCGATACCTTGTGTTCCTGGATGCCTGAGCAAAATTAAAAAAAGAAAAATAATGGCTTATATAAAATTTTCCTGGGGGGTGGGAGAGGATGTGGTTGGGAGGGGGACATGAGTGAAGAGGAAAAAAGTCTGGAGGACTCTCAACACTTGCCACAGTGGTAACAAATACCATATGGGAACAGTTTCCACCTAAATGAGTTACACCATAGATTTTATCCTTAAGTAAATATTTTTATCATATTCAATTAACATTTTATTTTTAGTTACTGTACAGATTTTCATGGTATGTGCTATTGCCCAGAGATTTTCAATAAGCAGCCATCACTTCACAGATTCCAAAGTTCAGCACTTATCTCAAAGCTTTGCTGGTGATTTCCTTAATTTATTGAATTGAATACTGGTCTGAAAGCAGTTGAAAAATTAGTAGCTGCCAGCAACTGCATAGCAGCCGGTCTCTGGGTTGATTCAATGGAACAATCAGAAGTCAGAGGAAGACTTCAGAATCTTGCCACCTAGCCAATCCAATGGCTTTCTAACCAGCTACTGAATCAGTGTTGGTAACTCAAATCTGTAGCATGCCACTACCAGGTAATATGTTATTCTTTTCCATGCCTTGTACTGAAATAACCATGAGTATCATTACTGGTTTTAACTTTTATCCCCAGTCTGACCTACTTCCACTCTTGTCATTGGCAGGAAGTGCAAGTGTACTAATGTATTTTGACAACACCTACGTTTTCTGGGGTTTTGGGAATAATGTGCAGCAATGGTATCTTTAGTTTCGAGAAGAGGGTAGGAAAGCTTCTTTAGATATTATGTTTATATTATGTTTCTCCTCACTGCTAAAACAAGTTATTCCTACAATAATGGTGATTGCCTGTTTCTGGACACCACTATGTCAGGATCCTGAAACACTTTAATTTCCATACAGGGGAAGGCTGGACTGCCCCCCTGGACTGCCCCCACTAAAGTCCATGGCAAAAATAACCTCAGTGAAAGAAAGAGATCTTAAAGACCACAGTGAATGCTCTTCAGAAAAAATGGGGAAAAACATGAGCTGCATTAGGAACCAGTATATGCAAGCCCTGGGGAAAGATATGTATTTTGGGATATAACTCTTTTTACTGTGTACCAGAAATAAATAAGTTAGGAAATCATAAAGGGATTGATTTTTTTTTGTCATTTTTATCTGTTAGATATTCATTAATTAGCACTGCTCCTGTGTCATAAGCAATATTGGAGATGAAAAACTCACATGGTAAAATAAAAACCAGTAATCACAAATCCTATCTTGGAATCAAAGATACAGTACCTTTGAGTTGCTGTTCCTGTTTCACATACAGACACACACACAAAACTATAAATAAAAAGAAAATGCTGCAAGGCAAAACACTGGCTTGCTGAGAAATCACCAACCCTTCAATCCCATACTGAGGCGTGATGGCTGTTAGACTTTGTGCATGCCAGACAACTGTTTTCAGGAAACGGGAGATGCAATGTCAAGAGATTCAGGCACACAACAGAATCAGAACTGCATCAGTTATGGTCCATAAATTACAAATGAAGAATGAGAAAGAGTAAGCAAGTTTATATAAGCATATGTATATATTTATAAATATTTATATTATATAATTTACCATGAGGACATGCAATTATTAGTATAGCACCTATTATACAATATAATACAAAGAAATAGGCCTTTCCAATGGTACAGTTTCTTCAAAAAAAGCAGGTATACCCTACCTATTGCATTCCTCTATAGTGCTTGAAACCTGAATGAAATTAAGGTTCCACACTGTGCTACATTACTTACGGGAAACAATATACATGTTAATAAAAAAATTCCAACACAGTCAGACAGAACAAGTGAAATTCAGTGCAGCTCCAGGACAGCTTTGATGCAGCATTAGAGACGTGTTAGCTCAGAGAAGGAATACTCCCTTTTGAATCCAAAGGTATTAGTTTGGCAGCAAACAGAGGTTAAATAAAAAGCACAGATGCTGGCTGAAGAGGCATATGACTACAGCAAGCAGATCAGTAACTAACAAGGTTCCCACACATCCAACATCCCTGAGATGCATAGTATTAGGGATGCTGGTTGCATCTTTTTTATGCTTACACCTCTGAGTTTTACTATTCTGACCTACTATTCCATTTCTGAATGTATTAAAAGCTGCTGTACCTCTAAGTATCCTACAATGATCCTCTACAGCATGAGTGATTATTAAGAGATATTAAATAAAGTTTGTTTGGGACAATTAAACACCATGGACTTTATTCCACAGACAATGACGCAAAGCTTCTCAAAGAGACATATGGGCAAGAGGAAGACAAGAATGACACCAAGGAAGTTGTCTAAGATTTGTTTTCTTTATGGTTTTGATGCCAAACATTCTCATGTAGACCCTGTAAGAGGCAGAAGTGAAGGCCTATTTGCTCAACTATAAGCCCCCAAAGTTTACAGATCCTGCACTTGCCTTTTAGCCCTAAAAACAACTTACATTTCATCTTTATGAACTAGAATTATAAGGTAAAATGTTAATCAGAGTTTGTAATTGTCTCAATTCCTCCTCAACATTGTTATTCTGAGTTTGATGTCGAGAGTGACATTGTGAATAATGCCAAATGGCTTAAGTGTACCGTTACTAATGTGAAAGAGAGCACTCTCTTGTATGCAAATAAGCATGTAAACAGTTACCACACACCTGACCTAACATATACTGCACAATATAATAAATCTGCAACCATCCTCTGGGGTGCAGACTTTTCCTTCCTTCATCCAGATCTCACTGGAATTACTGCTTCCAGGATGCACGCCAGGAGGGAGCATATGGTGCTGGAAGGCAAAGTTAGTACAATTTAAGATAAAGTTCTTAATGCCCTGCAAAATATTGCTATAAAAACTCTTCTGGGAAGTCTAAAATTCATTTTTAAAATGTCATCAGTGTAAAAGAAGGGGTAACATTTGTTATTTTTTTAGGTAGGGAAATATGTGCCACGGGAGAGGGAGAACGGGAGGGGCACTGAGTTGACTTGGAAAAAGACGTGCACAGCCTAACACTGAAAAGATATGCAAATCAGAAATATCAGCTGTCCAAATAACGTGCTTATTTAAAATTCTACAAATACAGGCCTGAGCAGTCGCTGTCTTAGAGGTGGTGGTGTCAATGCAGAAATAAAAACTCATGTTTCAGGTTCTGTTACATATTCTTTTGAGACAGGCCTTAAATAATTAGGCCAACTCTCCTAGCTAAGCAAAATAAAAATAAATAATTTTAAAAAAAATGTTTTAAAACACTCACGTTGGAGATATTTTTAACTTTAAAAGTTTCACGTATCTTAGACTGTCCTGACATTCCTTCTCTGTCCTCTTCCCCCCTCCCTAACCCACCCCCCGATCTGCTTGCTGCCTGTTTTTAGGCAATGCCTGGCCACTCATTTATACAGTATGTCTTGTCATAAGGAATTTATTATATGGTAACTTTCTTTTGAAAGCGAGGATTCAACACTGATTTTTTTCATTTTTTTAAATACACAGTACACAGACATAACATGCATCAGATTTAGAAGGAGGCTTTTACACCTGTCAAGGCCCAGTTCCTATCTGCTAAGTTTACTGGTGGATTTGCTCTTCCCTGTTGGGGTTTTAGTGTTTGGGGAGTGGTGGTAAGAACTGCTAGATCCTTTCAGACCATTCTTGCTTGGTTTACTGCAGCAGTGATCTTGTTGGCAGGATCTCCTAGAAGATGAGGAGCCTGAATGGCTAGGAGGTGATTTACTCCTTCCAAGGTGTGGGGATGAACTCCTCTGGTCATGGTGAGGCCTCCCAGCCCGGGATGGTGAAGAACTGGCAGTACGGGGTAAAGAAGAGCTCCTAGGGGAGGCACTAGGGCTGCGTCGGGTGATGACAGGGCTTTTGGGTGGTGTTTTGGGGCTATGTGGAGATCCTGGACTCTTACACTGGGTGGAACTCCTTGGTCTTTGAGATCCATTCTGAAGGATTTGAGCCAGACGAGAGATAAGGTCCGAGTCCGAGCTGCTACTCCCAATGACTCTGTACCTGCGTAACCTTTAAAAGAAATTAAGTGAAATTATTTCCACAACTTGGTTCTACTTTCTCCACTACTGCTCAACAGGGATCCTGGTTTTCTCTGTTTAAAAATCATAAATTCTCTGATTTAGCAAAAACAGAAAGAAACAAACACGTGTACACAAACAGCCGCCCCCCCCCCCCCCCTACACAGCCCCTGCTGCCAATGGCAGCAGCAGGCAACAGGCCCTTGGGGCACTCATGGCCCACAGCAGGTGGAACCCCCTGGAGGTACACAGTCACAGCAAGCCCCAGGATGGCACATGGCTGGGCTGCTGGCTCCATCACATGGGGCTCACATGCAGTTCCAGGATTCTCCACCCAAGTCCTGTGCCACGGGGGGTAGCCCCACATGATGAAGCCAATAGTGCAGGTAATGGGGTGCAGCAGGGAGAGGGCTGGAACCAGACCAGTTGCATAGCACAAAGCTCTTCGCCATTCCCCATGACCTGCACATGGCAGCGAGTGGGGCTGGGCCACTGGCTCCGTCGTATGGGGCTGTCCCCAGAGGCACACAGCTTAGGTGGAAAACCCGGGAACTGCATGCAAGCCCCAGGGAGCACCATGCAATGGAGCCAGGCGGACCCTGAGCCCCCACCAGCCCAAGCTCTGTGCTCCTGCCACCCCACCCTAGGCCACTACCAGCCCTGGGCATGGGGAACTGGTGTGAGCCCCACACTGACGCTGCACTCCCACCCACCACTGCTTCCCTCCCACTCACCAAAGCCACCACTGCCACTGTTGCCACTATTTCCGCTCATCCACCACCACCACCCTTCCTTTGCCTGCTGCCGCTGCTTGCCTACCTGCGGGGCCGGAGTCAGGGCCATCCCGTGGGCGAGGGTAGGAACACATTATGTGCTGTCCTGAGGGAGTAAGTAGGGCTCAGCCCCATACAAGCACAGCAGGAGCAGCCCAGGGCCGGGCTGGATACAGTGGAATGGTAGGCACCTGCCCTCAGGCTGAATGAAATCACCTGGTGGACCAGATTCAGCCTGCAGGCCGTATTTTGTTCATCCCTAGTCTAGACACACAAGAAACAGGATCATGGCTGCCTATCCACAAGGGCCCATGAGTAATTGGCCTACACTTGACTGACTTTAATGGGTTCATTAACTTCAATGAGTTTTGTGAGTTTTTAAGCACTACTTAAAATCAGGTCATTTTCAATTATGTTCTGAATACAGATTTAACTATAGACAAGCATTTTAAAATTCTGCTGGTCTATTACAGAGGTCAGCAGGGAGACTGCGACATCCTTCTGTCACACGCTAAAGAACTGCAAATGTCTAACATCTGTGTTTAAGCTAAAGTTCTTTTTAACCAGTCATGGTATTTCTCACATAACTCAAAAACAGTACTTTTAAAAGAAATGGGTTTACAAATGACAGAAGGTCTGGGCCATCACCACTGCTTACTTACTGCAAACTTATTCCAAACAACTCTAAAGTAAAATATTTAAAAACTGTTTCTAGGTTGCCTGTATTACCTGGCTTCTACTCCAGGTCTTGGTGGTGGTCTTCCTGGTGGTGGCCGAGGAAAGAACTGAGCTGAGCTTGAACTGGTGACTTGATCAGTAGTAGCCCAAGACACTGGCCTTGGAATCTTGCTTTTTCTGGACTGAGGGCTACTGGGTGACAAAGAGCCATCCTCACCTTGCTTGCCCAAATGTGAGTCCAGTGTCAGTCTGGAAAAAGAGGATAAGACTTCATCCTCAGAAAATGGTACAGGAGCAGCAGACACTTTTTCCTCCAGTGACTTATCAGAGGCACTTGAAAGGTCACCAAGGAAGGATTTAAGCTGCCTCTTTTCCACAAGTAGCCTGACCAAGTCTGTCTGATGTGCCTTCTTTAAGAGAAGTTTTTCCTTTGCTGACACAGGAGAAGTGGATTCTGATGTCATGTCTATCTCTTGTGCTAAAACCGGTATGCGACTCTGCCTGAACACAAAGGGTGATCTAACTATGTCTTTCTTGGACTGATGAGAACTCTCATTCTCTGAAATGCAATGAAACAATTCTCCATTTCTTGGGGCATTTTTCTCTCTTTTGCCCTCCTGATGCAAAAAAGTAGTAAGTGCCACTTGGTGGCATTTCAAGTCTTCAGCACGATCATTTTCCTCATTATCATGGAAACCATTTTCCTGCACTGCTACTATTTGTTTTCCTTCTCTCTCAGCAAATGGGTCAATAACTCTTGATGGAACAACATCTGTCCTTTCAGCTCCTGTTGATTTCAGAACTTCAAGGTCTGCGTCTTGATTTGGCACCAAGCAAGAAGTCCTCGGCTTTGATTCTTCAGCAGATTCAACAGTGGCTGGAGGTTCCTCCTCTGCAGATTTTGAGTTTGCTAGTGGAGGAGAATTCTGCCCTTTGCTTAGTATTTCAATGGCATCCTCAGAAATGATGGGAAGCCTTTCTTCTTCAGATTTTACAGGGAGATGTTCAGGGTCTTCCTCTTTGTGCCTCCTGCTATTTTGTTCAAATACATCCTTTTGGCCATACTCTATTAATTTGACACATTCTTTGACATGTTCTTCTCTCCCAAGCCCCTCCTGGCTGATATGATCCAACTGAAGCACCAAATCTGGTCTGCTGGCACTATTTGGAAGTGCACTGTCTGTCACTATCAATCCAAGAAAATTCTCCTTAGGAGAAGAAAGTTCCACAGTGTTTTCCATAGGCTGACTGTCCCAGTCTCTCTTCTCTAGCTGGTGGCCATAATGAAAGCTCTCAGAAGCAGACTGGGTGGATGCCACTGAAGGCCTGAGTATGGTTATCTATAATAGAAAATTAAAGGAAAAAGATGAAAAGCTGAGGAATACCATGTTATATAGATTACATTTGTTAGAATACAGTGCATGTTCAAAGTTTTCCTGTTTCTGTCGATTATCATGTTCAAATAATAGAATAAAAATTAGCTAATTTCATAAACAGCATTTCATAAACAGAATTAGAAAATAATAATCTCCACTACCTTGGGACAAAATGTGTGGTGTATGCCATGTGAAAACAAAAATGATCTCTGCCAAAAAAGGGGAGCATCATCAAGAATCCTGCCAGAGAACAGTTTACTCCTGAAGCTGGTTCTTAAGTTTTATATTTTATTTTCATAATATTGTGCATATTTTTAGGGGGAGGTTTTACGCATTCATATTCATATTAAGAGTAAAATTGTCAGAAGTGCACATTACTGTAAAAACTGTCAAACTGTGCAGTCAGGAATGAAAGAGGAGGAAACTTGATGACTGGAACTTGATGATGGCCACAAAATCCTCCTGGATTCTTTGCCGTGGGAAGGGGAAGCTGATTGCAGCCACTTTCACTGCTGTCATGGAATCTGCAGTGTTATACAATAGGTGCCACTAGAACTTGCTGCAGTAGAAGTTCTCTACAGAGCTCAATGTGCTTTTAGAATATCAAACAGAACGATACCATTGGTTCATAAAATCAGACTCAACTGTTAGGTCCTGGGGGCAAATATCTCAGTTAATACTGACTATATTAAATCTACTTCTATGAGAGCCAAAAAGACACTGGGAGCTGACAGCAACATGAACAATATGTATGTAACAGCTATACTGAGGTTCATTCTTTTTGTTCATTTTTAACAATATCATGTAAGCAAGGACTTCTGTTGTTTTAGGATCATGTTTGCCTTCAAGCACAACATTCAGCTGACACAAGTAATTTACAGAAACAACACAAGAAGCATTAGCCATATTGCATAACAAAACTGAAGTTACAGAAACTGATTTTTTTGTGTTAAGGAAAAAATAGCCACATCATTCTGTGATTTATTACACTGCTCTTCTTAAGTCCCTAAAATTTAAGGTTATCATTCCAATATTTAAATCTTAGACTATGGGATGCAGTTCAAAAAACCTATAGAGCGGTAGCCAGCTGTGTTAGTCTGAAATCAGGCAGAAGGTGGGATAAATTTGCACCTTCAAAGACCAAATAAATCAGAGATGTATAGCATAAGCTTTTGAAAGCAGATGGCTTGCTTCATCAGATGCTGTGAAGGGACTGCAGGAAGTAGAGCTACCAATCAGAAAGCAGCTCTACTCTTTGTATTCTAATCATTAATTCGAATTCCCTACCTTTGTATTCTAATCACGGCTTTCTATTTAGCAGCTCTGCCTCCTGCAGCTCCTTCACAGCATCTGATGAAGTAAGCCCTCTGCTTATGAAACCTACGCTATACATCTTTGTCTTAGTCTATAAAAGTGCAAATCTACTCTGCCTTCTGTTAGTCAGCTAGAAACAGGAGTTTACACTTGTGAAGCTGGTCTTAGTGCACCACTGCCTTTGTGAAGGTAATATTTTAGTAGAAAGGATGAACATCTCTTCTCCTGCCACTAAAGTACGAAAAATTGAATTTTCACTGGCTGTAGAAGGAGAAAGCGAAGAAATAACCAGAAAGGAGGAAGGTAGCTGAAATCCCAAGCTGTTCCAACTGAGAATGACAATGCAGTAGCTTTTCCCACTTAGGTCCTTGTTACACCTTACCCTGTGAGCTGCACAAACATTGATAGGTGTTAGAGCTAGCTTGAGTTTGGAGCAGTCGCACTTCAGGTCAGCAGGAGCCTGGAGAGCTGAAAGGTAAGAATCTTCCTCCCCAGCCCCCCACCCAACAACCCCATTCCAGGCTTCCCCTTCACCCCCTACCCCCTAGGGATCCCTCCCTGCTTCCTGTCTCCCGCTGCCCCTGTGGCATTACTTACTTGTGGCTGCCTGCACTGTCAGTACCAAGGGAACAGGCAGGGAAGGGCTAACCTGCCTGTCTGGCCGCTGCTTCTGCTGTTGTTATTTTAATACATTGGGATTTGGAATTGTAGGGGCGGGGGTGTACTGGTTGCGTCTCCCAGGGTAGCTGGGAGGTGGGAGCAGTAGGGAAGGCACTTTTGGGCGAAATACTGACCCTGCCCTGGGAAGGAAACCCCAGCTTATGGGGACCCTATCTGGCCCCCTACCTTGTTCCCCCGCTGAGCCTCTAGACCCCACTCCTGGGCCTGTCCATGTCCTGCAACCTGGCTAGCTGGCATGTGCTCTGCAGGCTGATTGCATGTGGTTGCAACCCTGGGGTGGGAGGAGGAATTGGCTTGGTGCCAGCACCCCACACCCCTAGGCAGTAGAGTTCAGGGGTGGAAAGTTTGTCCACACAACAGAGGGGTTGGAGAGAAGGCACTGCATACTAGGATGTTGAAGGGCTGCAACTTGGATGGTTCACCTGTGGGGAGTGACCACACATTAACGGAACATAAACTGTAAAACGGATGAAAGATCCACCTCCCTGGAATGGTATGACTAAGTCATTTAAAGTGTGCTTAAAACTAGTTTCAGGTGTTAATGTGTGGACAATCCAGGGATTAAGAGCTCCAAGAGCTGCTTTAAATTAATGTGCAACAAAGCCCCTAGGTGTCTAGAATCCTTGGCAGCAAATGGCAAATTGTATTCTCATTTACCTGCTAGTTTGCTTTCAGTGACTGGATCAATACAGTACAGTCCCTGTTACTCTCCTATTCACTGAATCAGAATGGCATGTTGAAAACCAATCAAATTGAAGAGTGTTTACATCCTCAAGGGTACAGTCCTCCTCTTTCTAATTTCAGTCTGATTCATTCATCTTAAGGAAACTTTACCTTCATTTTAAGTCATAGTCTCTATCTCACTTCAGGATTCAAGGAAAAATTCAAATGTTTTCTGAGGTCTTATATGTACTATACTGATCCAGTCATCAAAAACAAAGAGAAAGTAAGCATAAAAAATGTTCATGACTGGTCTACTACTGCACAGATCCTGGGTTTTAATAAGAAATACCCTAAGAAACATTCAGAGTATGAAGGGAAATGTACAAGAATGGAGAAAAAATGGGATGTTACATTCCAGGAAAAAAGGACCAAGAAATGAGACAACTTTCTAACATCCTATTCCCCTTTAATTGATCTCCCTAATGAATCACATCTCTAATTACTCCTTTTTTTAAAGTTTAAAACACACCATTCCTAATGTCCATAAGCCATTTTGCCTCATGGATTGTAATTTAATCCTAATGATACGGAGGATCTCTATAGGATACTATAGAAACAAAGCTACCCTTCTCCATGCATGAAGCCCTAGTTCCCTATGGTTCCAGGAATTGATATCAGTATCTTTAAGAATTCAGGGGCTAAATGTTATGAAAACCTTAAGGAAATCTGAACCCTTCCAGTCCTATGTCATGCTGATAAAACAGACTATACCAACTAAGAGATTTTGGACAACAGGCTGCTTTGTGAGATAAGAAAATGATTTGGTCCACCTCAATTGAAACCCTAATGTTTCAGAAGTTCTCAGTCAAAAGGCAGGCTGAGAGATGTCAGGAATCTGATTCTTGATGAAATGCTTGTCCTTATCGTAGCAGGTCTTGAACACAAAAGAATAAGGAAATGATCCAGATGAGAGATACAATTAGGAGGTCAGCAGAGGAGGATCTATGTGATCTCACCAATGTTGCGTACCGTTAAGTGCTGATTTCTTATTTTTTCTAACGTATCTTCCAAACAAAGACAAAAGAAGAAAAAAATCATAAACAAATCTGTTAATCCATGTAATAGAAAATGTGCTGTACTCCAAATGCCCTGGTTCTGGACAACTGACAGACTACTGCATCTAGATTTTTTTTCTTGTTGATAGATTTATAGAGAGGATCCCCATTGTTTAGAAAGTTACCAAATATTTCTGCACAAAGTGTCTAATCTCTTGGCAATACTTCTGATATGATGAGCTAGCATGCATGGCAATTCAAGTCATATGAGATTCATAGAGCTTTTACTAAGTTCTCTTCCACTTAACTGAAGACAAGAAGAGACTTGGGCTGTTGGTGTGTGGGAGGGGAGGCAGAAGCCCCCTTCCCAACATGTCCTGGGATCCTGCCTGACAAGCCCCGATACTCACCGCAGGGACTGGGACAAGCGGCAGCTGAAAGAACACTCCGAATGCAGGCTCGGCAGTTCCACAGCTGCCTGAGCCTGCAGATCAGTGAGCCCCGGGGGCAGGGCCTAAAAGCAGTGCTGGCTGCTTAAAAGGCAGCTGGAAAAACACCCAGCTGCTTGGAGGGAGTGGAAAACGCCACCAGGGAGAGACGGGCAGTGTAGCTGAGCAGGGAGAGGCAGAGCGCTGGCGGGGAAAGGCAGGCGGCAGAGCCGGGTAGGATCAGTGGAGCTGGGCACATGGCAAGAAGCCCCAGCGTCCACCAGGAAACCCCGGTGAGGAAAACCACAGGTCAAGGCTCGGGGAGCTGAAGTTGGCCAGAGGGGCATGGCAGGGAGAAGGAGGTCGTCCCCGCCATTGTGAGTGAAGACCAGGCTGCACTGGAACATTCAGCTACCCTGGTGGAGAAGGGCAGCGAGCAAGGACAAGACCCAACGGGCAGCTGGGTGAAGAGGGAGGAGCAGATGGCAACTGACCCAGAGCCCAGTGGGGAAAAGGCGACCTTTACCAGGTGGTGGGAGCAGGAGTGATTAACTCCTAGCCTGCTGATCCCTGGGAAAGGTAACCAGAGGGACAGACGAAGATTCATTCGCCCATCCCAGGGAGGTAAAGGGGTCCTGGGGAGCCAGAGTCCCATTATATTTAATCGGCAGACGCCAAACATCTTCGCTTTGAGCAAAGAAACTTCTAAGTTATCGTTACCCCAGGCAGGGCATGCTTTAGTTATCCAGAGCAATTGACAGCCAAACATACCTGGCCACACCTGGGTGGGCCTCACAGGTGAGAAGTGATAGTCCCAGGGAAG